CAGTTTTGCCCGCTGCCAGCTCACACGCCCCGGTGGGCGCGACCAGCTCAGCGGTTTGTGCTGAGTGGTAGTGGGGCAAACTACCAGAGTCTATAGTATCAAAATCAGAACACACAGCATAGCCGACTCGGTTCTTCCCAGTGTTGTCACGTGACGCCGCTCCGTCTGTATAAAAAAAATCAAGTCAGGATTAGTCAGAGGCACCTCTTTCAGGTCTGGCCTGGGAGTGCATATCTGTTCTATTGTGGCGATACAGCAGTGTGCCTCCCCTTCCTCTGGCGTGGGCAGCAGCGAGGGGGGGTTCAGCTGTGTGCATCCCTTCACCGTAGTTCAAAGAGCACCGTGTTGCACCCCAGCCAACGAGCCGCAGAAAGGCGAGAGGCCCTCTGCTCTAACAGGATCAGGGAAACAGCATGGGGCACAAGCAAAGTTAGTTCGGTGTATCCCACAAGGTCACGTGATGCTAGGGCCGCCTTCTCAGCGGCAGCCACAGCCCGCAGGCAGCGAGGCAACCCTGCTGCCACGGGATCGAGTTTTGCTGAGAAGTAAGCAGTGGGTCTCAGTGGCCCTCAGTGAGGCTGCAAAAGTACCGACTGTTCCGTTCATCTCCAGTTGCTTTTCTCCCGGATCGTCCTCAATTCATATTGTGGGCTTTTGTGCCAAAGTGGAGGCTCATTTCCTCCTGATCCATACTACTGTCATCCCTGGAGCAGGGGTAGTTTATCTCTCATCTGAAAAAGAAATATCAGAACACAAAAAAAAACACAAAAAATGCCCACTTTCGCTTGTCAATCTTTTTCCCAATTGGGCAAAACATAACTGCATTGACAGGTGGTGTGTGGCATCAGGGCGGAGGCTGTAGCCAAATACAGAACAACAAAATGTATGTTTCTAATTTTATACTCCCCTAAATGTGAGTTTACCAACCAAAGTTGTCCTTCAACCAACGACAGCTCACTGCGGTTGGACTGTGTCGCTGTCAGGACAAACAGCAGAGGCAGGAACTCCCAATATCTTCAGCGAGGTATTTCATCTCCGAGTACTTTCAGCAGAGTACTTTTCTCAGAGTACTCATCCCAGAGTACTCTCACTTTTACACCTGTTCAATAAAGCTTGTTATCTTTGAATCTCTAGTACTTACACCGTATGCTGTTGACAAAAAATAATTATTCCATGATCACATTAAAACATTACAGACACATTTGTTATTCCATGATTCCGTTCAGCATTCCTCATTTCACACATCACACTCATATCACAGTCATATCACAGTCACATCACAGTCACATCACAGGCTGATTTCCCACGTTAGTATTTTGGTCCAGTTTGTTAAGGTCAGCGTAGTGTACTTTGACATGACACACAAACATATAACATGCACAAAACATATAACACACACAAACATATAACAACACAGAAGGCCTGTACTTTTAACTTTGTTATATTTTTCCATGTCCAATTCCAATTGTCTCATGAGCTATTTCTTATTGTTGCAACTTTCAGAGCCTGTAGAGCTTTAAAAGAGTTTTCCTAAAAGGATCCATTTCCAACTTTAGTGTTTACCACGTGGTCTATACTTCGGGCTTATCACAGATTGTGTCCCCTATATCTCTAATGAGCTCTTGTCACCTAAAAAAAATGTTTATTTTCCTTATTTTTTTTCTTTTTCAATAAAGCCAGGTCGGATTCATTAAAAATGTAAATTAGTCTCAAACTTTAATACTTCACCTTTGTTTCACGATAAAATGTTTTCGTTGCTCATTAAGTAGCACAGATAGTGGTGCCTATCTCAATAAACGTACTCCGTTAGCCTATCTTCCCTACACTGCATGAATTTTCAAACTCCAAGTTATTGTCTGGGAACGACTGGAGAGAGCAGCTTAGGTCGTTCGCGTGGTTGACCTCCAAATTTTGTGCGGGCGTCACTATCCACTTGTTGTGGCTAATAACTTAGCAATCTCAGGGTTTGGTGTCAATTTCCAGTGGTAGTTAACTTTTGGGACCGGTGCCTCCTTTTATTTATCTATTTTTAATTGAGTCTGCACATAAGGTCTCGGCCTAGTAGGTTAACCGGGGACAATGGGGAATATAGAAAAGAATGTTTAAGCTGGTTGCCCTGAGAATCAAAACACGTTAGCGGTGACGTAAATTGCTCTTTAGTCGTCTCTCCGACGCTGCTAATTAGAATATGAAGCGGCCGCTCATTTTAGGGGAGACAGAAAGGCTGTCACTTTTAGCACAGAATTTGTTGCCCCGGAGTCATCCAGAATTTTAACTTGTACACCACAGGTTGTTAGCGTATATTACGGGCATGAATTATCTCTAAAAAGTGCCAATTGCAATTTGTTGTTGTTCAACTTACATGAGCGGTCGCTTTGGTGACGAATGTGAACCCAGGTTTGGTCAGTCGCTCGTGTTTCCTCCGTGCCCGCCTCTGCCGTCCTCTGGCCCCGTGTGAGCTTGAGAGGCCCTCTGCCTTTAACGCCTCCTCCGGTAACAGTCCTTCGACCCATGTCGAGCACACAGTCTTTCCGCCGGGCTGTGGAAGTTTTTCAAAGTCCGCAGGAGGCCCAGGTAGCCCAAAGCGTTAGCATGTGGTCCATGAGGGTTGGTGAATAACCCAAACGTGCCGGTACTTTTGGCTTCTTCTGTTTGCGGTGCGGGAACAACTTTCAGGGGGGTTTCCGCGGGTGCGTTTGGTATATCACGCTGCCCCCTCCGTGGAGAACAGTCACGGGATTTGTAGCAGTTTCTCTCTGTGCTCCAAAGCAGTTCTCGGTGTCTCACATATTTGCTTCCCCGCTTCTTCTTCTGTGGTTTCCTGAGCGTGTGTCTGTTTCCGCCTCTTCTTCTTCTGCTCCCGGGTTTGGGCCCACTTCTCGCGGGGTCTCAGCTGGTGCGGGCGCCGCCTGTGGTTGGGGCGTGGGGCTGGTGCTTTGAGGCAGAGGACAGAGCGCGGAGGAAAGGCGCCGACAGACCTGGATAAGGGAGAGGGAAAAGAGACAACAGTAGTCTGCTTCATTTTTTAAAAACCCAACGCCTTGTTTGGGTGCACACTTATTGTTAGTAGGGGTAGGGTGGGGGTGTGGGGGATGTGTGTGTGTGTGTCCGCCTGTGTTCTCCGCTTCGGTGAAAGGCGGAGGAGCTATTGTTTTTACATATTTCTTTCTCTAACCTCTTTTGCCGTGATATTCTTAAAACCAAGTATATTTTTTTCTTCCCTTCTTCTTCTAAATTATCACGCAAGATGCGTAATGGCCTGCACCATAGGCAAGCACTCCATAGCTTGCATCTCCTAGATTGATTTTTACCCATTTTCTCGTACGAACAATGGGCCTAACCCGCTTAGTCTCTCCCTGCTCCTACCCACTTTGGGGCGCTCCATTCCCCCCTCGCTGGTTCAACCAGCGAGCGCGCGTTCTTGAAATGGAGCGGGTCTGGCTGAAGACACTTGGAGAAATTTTCAGGGTCGCCTACAGGACGATACTAACGCGCAGCCGCTAGTTTCAATCTAGAACAAAAAGCCCCCCAAAAAATCCCGCACACAGACTATGCTGTGGCAATGAATGAAATACCCCAAAAATACATAAATAAACAAATCCCCGTGTACACTTAAGTGCTGCCCTGGGCTCGTTACGCAGATGAAAAGACAAGACTCACCAGATTAGGTTCTTTTTGGTCTTGTGTGGCAAAAGGATTCCTTCCGTGCGCGGACGAGCGCGCTCTCCTTTGTCTCCAAAAAGGAACAGAGGCTGGTGATCCAGGTCGGCCAAACAAAGCCGCTCGTCCCCGCCGAAAGTATCCATGCCAAGACATGTCAGCAACGCCAAATTGTTATAGAAATATATACCCCATGAAGGAGAAAACTCAAAGGTCCTTTGTCTGATCAAAAGCGTAAGTTTATTGTTAACGCACAGTGCGGAGAGTCAGCATATGCACACAAAGGCAGCATGCTCAGCTCTGGGGGCCAGAGCCCCCAGCTTCCTGTATACAAGGCACACACCAAAGATAGTCACGCCCACAACGGAGCGGAGGGGGCCACCGGTGAGGAGGCGCACAGGAAGCGCCGGCGCCATCCCCTGTGGTGGCAGTGGCATGGGGTGTGAACAGACAGACAATGGTGGAAATGCAGGTCATACAGATGCAAGACGGAAAGACACAAGGGTGTGACAGACAGCAGGGACCTTCACAAAGCTCAGCATGGCGTCAGAAGGTCGTCTGCATTGATAAAAGGCCTTTGACGTCCGTGTATTTGCTGCGGCTGGTTTTATGTAATTACTCCAAAAACTGTCACCACACTCCCCATTTGCCTTTGACAGCAATTTCACCGCATCAACTTTCACCAATATTGTGCTTTTACGTCTGAGTTCCATCTGCAAAAACATCCAGCTATTTCTGCATTTCGATTTGCCCCTGACAGGTATAAAAAAAAAGAAAAAAGCCTGGCGATAATAAAAAAAAAAGGCCCATCTGTTGAAGTTACAATAAGGAGCGTCCGATGACAGCCCTTGTCTCTGATTAGTTAACACACAGGGAGCTACCCGGTGTCAGCTCCGTCCCTCCGTCTCCACAGCCTTGATTAAGAAGTGCCACGAAAGGCTCAAGACACTCAGAGCTGACATTATCGCAAATCTCCTCATTTTCGCTGATGTTGCCGTGGGCGGAAACCCATTTGAACGCGTGGGAGTAAATCCGTGGCGATGCGTACATGAAACACATCCACTTATATATATACAGTATATATATATATACATATGTATATATATATGTATATATATATATATACGTATGTATATATATATACATATATATATATATATATATATATATATATACATATGTATATAGGGGGATATACATATGTATATAGGGGGAAAAGGAATGCTGTAGGAATGCAAGAGTTGTAATTTCCTTGTATATGTCCTGATATTTGTGTTATTCAATTATCTGTTTGTGCTTGTGTCAACACAGGGTGGCCTTTCGGAAGCCTGGTGTGCAAAATGAGCGGCATGGTCCAGGGAATCTCTGTGTCGGCTTCGGTCTTCACTCTGGTGGCTATTGCGGTGGACAGGTACATGTGTTTGTTCTTCGTATGGAATCAAAATTGTTCATTTCAAACTTGTGCAAACGTTCAACAAGAAATAGGGGACAAAAATACCTATAGAAATACACTGTTGGATAAGAGAAAACATTTAGAGTAGAACTCAATCAGTCCAAATGGTAATACCCATCCATCCATCCATCAATTTTCTTCCGCTTTCTCCGTTGCCGGGTCGTGGGGGCAGCAGTCTAAGCAGAGACGCTCAGACTTCTCTATCCACACACACTTCCTCCAGCTCGTCCGGGGGGACCCCAAGGCGTTCCCAGGCCAGCTGGGAGACATAGTCCCTCCAGCGTGTCCTAGGTCTTCCGCGGGGCCTCCTCCCGGTGGGATGTGCCCGGAACACCTCCCCAGGGAGGCGTCCAGGAGGCATCCGGAACAGATGCCCGAGCCACCTCAACTGGTTCCTCTCGACGTGGAGAAGCAGCGGCTCTACTCCGAGCTCCTCCCGTGTGACTGAGCTCCTCACCCTATCTCTAAGGGAGCGCCCAGCCACTCTGCGGAGGAAGCTCATTTCGACCGCTTGTATCCGCAATCTCGTTCTTCCGGTCATTACCCTAAGCTCATGACCATAGGTGAGGGAGGGAACGAAGATTGACCGGTAAATCGAGAGCTTCGCCTTTCGGCTCAGCTCCCTATTTACCACAACGGTCCGATGCTGCTCCGATCCGCCTGTCAATCTCACGCTCCATTCTTCCCTCACTCGTGAACAAGACCCCGAGATACTTGAACTCCTCCACTTGAGGAAGGACCTCTCCACCCACCTGGAGAGGGCAAGGCACCTTTTTCCGGTCGAGCACCATGGCCTCGGATTTGGAGGTGCTGATTCTCATCCCAGCCGCTTCACACTCGGCTGCAAACCGTCCCAGTGCATGCTGCAGGTCCTGGTTCGTTGGAGCCAACAGGACAACATCGTCCGCAAACAGCAGAGATGAAATCCTGTGGTCCCCGAACCGGACCCCCTCCGACCCCTGGCTGCGCCTAGATATTCTGTCCATAAATACAGTGAACAGAACCGGTGACAAAGGGCAGCCCTGTCGGAGGCCAACATTCACCGGGAACAGGTCTGACTTACTGCCGGCAATGCGAACACAGCTCTGGCTCCGGTCATACAGGGATCGGATGGCCCTCAGCAGAGGACCTCCGACCCCGTACTCCCGGAGAACCCCCCAAAGGACACCCCGGGGAACACAGTCGAACGCCTTCTCCAAATCCACAAAGCACATGTGGACAGGTTGGGCGAACTCCCATGAACCCCCGAGTATCCGATGGAGAGTATAGAGCTGGTGTAGTGTTTCGCGACCGGGACGAAAACCACACTGCTCCTCCTGGATCCGAGATTCGACCATCGGCCGTAACCTCCTCTCCAGTACCTTGGAGTAGACCTTACCGGGGAGGCTGAGGAGTGTGATCCCACGATAATTGGAACACACCCTCCGGTCCCCCTTCTTGTAGAGAGGGACCACCACCCCGGTCTGCCACTCCATTGGTACTGCCCCCGATCGCCACACGATGTTGCAGAGACGTGTCAGCCAAGACAGTCCTACAACATCCAGAGACTTTATATAATCAGGGCGGATCTCATCCACACCCGGAGCCTTGCCACCATGGAGGCTACCAACCACCTTGGTGACCTCAGCCAGGGAGATGGATGTATCCGCCCCAACATCCTCAGCCTCTGCCTCTGTAACAGAGGACGTGACGGGGGGATTGAGGAGAACCTCAAAGTATTCCTTCCACCGCCCGACAATATCCCCAGTCGAGGTCAGCAGCTCTCCACCCGCACCGTACATGGTGTTGGCAAAGAACTGCTTCCCCCTCCTGAGGCGCCGGATGGTTTGCCAGAATCTCTTCGAGGCCGACCGATAGTCATGCTTCTTGGACTCTCCGAACTCCTCCCAGTCCCGGGTTTTTGCCTCTGCAACAGCCCGGGCCGCGGCACGCTTGGCCTGCCGGTACTGGACAGCTGCCTCAGGAGTCCCCCGAACCATCATGGCTCGATAGGACTCCTTCTTCAGCCTGACAGCATCCCTTACTGCCGGTGTCCACCACCGGGTTCGGGGGTTGCCGCCGGGACCAGCACCAGAGACCTTGCGACCACAGCTACGAGCCGCCGCATCGGCGATTGAGGCAGAGAACATGGTCCACTCGGACTCCATGTCCCCCTCCTCCGCCGGGACCTGGGAGGAACTCTCCCGGAGGTGTGAGTTGAAAGTCCGTCTGACAGGGGGCTCAGCGAGACGTTCCCAGCAGACCCTCACTATACGCTTGGGTCTGCCAGGTCTGACCGGCTTCTTCCCCTGCCAGCGGATCCAACTCACGACCAGGTGATGATCGGTTGACAGCTCCGCCCCTCTTTTTACCCGAGTGTCCGAGACACGCGGTCGAAGGTCAGATGATACGACAACAAAGTCGATCATCGACCTCCGGCCTAGGGTGTCCTGGTCCTGGTGGACACCCTTGTGCTTGAACATGGTGTTTGTGATGGACAAACTGTGACTGGCACAGAAGTCCAACAACTGAACACCGCTCGGGTTCAGATCAGGGGGGCCGTTCTTCCCGATCACCCCTCTCCAAGTGTCACTGGCGTTTCCCACATGGGCGTTGAAGTCCCCCAGGAGAATAACGGAGTCCCCGGGCGGTGCACCGTCCAGTACCCCTCCCAAGGACTCCAAGAAGGCCGGGTACTCTGCACTGCTGTTAGGCCCGTAGGCCGTCACAACAATGAGAGACTTGTCCCCCACCCGGAGGCGGAGGGACGCGACCCTCTCATTCACCGGGGAGAACTCCAACACGTGGCGGCTGAGATAGGGGGCAATGAGAATGGCCACCCCAGCTCGCCGCCTCTCCCCGCGGGAAACTCCAGAAAAGTGGAGCGTCCAACCCCTCTCAAGGAGTTGGGTTCCAGAGCCCAAGCTGTGTGTGGAGGTGAGGCCGACTATCTCTAGTCGGTATCGCTCAACCTCCCCCACGAGCTCGGGCTCCTTCCCCCCCAGTGAGGTGACGTTCCACGTCCCAAGAGCCAGATGTTGTGTGTGCGGACTGGGTCGCCGAGGTCTCCGCCTTCGACTGCCGCCCAGTCCTCTCAGCACCGCGCCACCACGGACCCCTCTGCAGGTGGTGGGCCCACAGGAGGGACTGCCCACGTCATCCCTTCGGGCTGAGCCCGGCCGGGCCCCGTGGGCTAAGGCCCGGCCACCAGGCGCTCGCATACGAGCCCCGACCCCAGGCCTGGCTCCAGGGTGGGGCCCCGGCTGTTACAGTGTACAGTGTGTACAGTAATTGTTGGTTGTCATTAAGCGGTGCGGGGTCACTAACTTGATAATTTCCAAAGAAAAATTCTAGAGTTTTTCTAATTCAATCACTCCCCCACAGGTCTGTGATTGGAAGCAATGAAATAAAATCCTTGACGGACAGCTGAAGTCCCTCCCCATTGGTCTAAATATTCTCCTCCAGTGAATCTTACTGGTTATTCTAAGGGTAGAATGTTTTAGATATATTTATTATGAAAAAATTACTTCATGGTGATGTAAGCTATGTGTATTGTATTTAATTTTTAAAACATTGTATATTTCTGACCATGGGGCAAGTATCTTCCAACAATAATACATTTAAAATAGTCCCCTCCATTAGCAGAACTACTACCTAGAGTAAGGGGAGGAGAACAGTGACAGTGAGAACCAGAGACCAGAGGCCTCAGGGATTTGAATTATTTTCGACCAATCAGGGAACTTCACTCTTTTTCCACAATTTGAATAGTTACTGACTTTCACTTTACTAAAGATTATACTACAGAGTTAAATGTTCAAGATAATGTATTCTGTTCCAAACTTTTAGGACAATTGAAGTTGCCAACATCACCATCCAAAAAAGATTTCCCGACATTACCAGTGGGTCAAATTTGAAGTATAGATGCACTTTTCCATAAAAAGTGAGAAAATGCTTTTTTTTTAATATTAGCAATATTATTCAAGTCAAAACATACTAAAATCAAGCTCTATACATATACCACAAGTGTTTGTTTAGAATGCAATGTATGGCACTACCACAGTTGGTATATGACAGACAAAACACATAGTTTCTTTTGCATCGATCCTTGCTCACAAGTATTGATGCAAAATTGTTTTAGAATCAATAAATATTTCTTCTGACGGCCGCAGCACAATGTCCTACATGTGTACTCATCGCGAATCACTCCGGTCTGACCTTTCCTTTGTTGAAATGTGAAATCGAAGGCGAAGCTGGTACTAAAGAATTTCTCCTTGTCCGCAGAACTACAAAGACATTAGCAACAGCAGAGACAGCAAAGGCTAACGCTACCTTTCCGATACTTGTTGGCAATGACTCTGTCTAATGTGACAAATTAGTATGATAATGAGGACAAGATCAGAACCAAAGTCTTTCATGCATTATCTGCAAACTGAAGAGCGGATACACATCACTCGGTTCGTCAGTGGATTTGACATGCGCTTCACAAAGACCATAGTTCAAACGGACATAGTATGTAAATGTTGGGCTTCAATCAGCTTTTACTTTGCTCTTTCCTTGTTATTTATCTTAACGACCATATTTTATCTACAGCTATTACAACAAAAGACAAGCGTAAGGAGGCGGAGCATATTAGTTGGGACGTTTTTGATCATTATTGAGGGAGTAGTACAGTACGTAAAGTGTACACATATGAAATTACCTTCGTTTAGTAAAGTTAGATGCTAATTCTTCTGTGTTCTATGTTTGTGACTGTCTGTGAATTCACTTACATTTATTATGTACAGCCCTAAATCACAACAGCTGTCGTCTCGGAGGATTTTACAAATAATAATAATAATGCATCGGTTTTATATAGCGCTTTTCTGGACACTCAAAGACACTTTACATGTCATTATTCAGTCACTCCATACTCTGTGGTGATTAACTTCCACTGTAGCCACAGCTGCCCTGGGGCACACTGACAGAAGCGAGGCAACCAG